GAGAGAGAGAGAGAGAGAGAGAGAGAGATGAAATGTTTGTTGTTAAGCATTGGGGGAAACGCAATGCATAGTTGCCTATTTATCGCCCCAATTTAAATATTATAATTATCAATGTAAATTTTAAAAATAACTTTCAAACATTATAAAACTTATTTATTAAAAATATTTGTAACATATTTTTGCAATTAGAAATATTTAGTACAAATTCAAAAACATTGTTAACCATTAATAATAAATAATTATAAGTTATTTCTTAGGTTTTTTAGTTGATTTGGTGTTTTTAGCGAAAGCCTTTTCGATGTCATAGATTTTCCTAAATATTCATAAAAACAAAACATTCATTGAATTAATAAAATAATATCTATTAAACAAAACATTCAGAATATTCCACAAAAAACATTGTAAAATAAAGTGCAAATCAAATCGACCTAGTACCTCTTATCCTCGGAAGCGGGAGCCTCTGTTTATATCAAATAAAACACACAATTAGTATACAATATATTGGACACAGAATGTACATAAATAATCATAATCTAATCTAGATTATATATGCATAAGAACGTGCTTAATAATATAATGCACACATGTATAGCACAACAGACCTGTGGACGCGATTTTGTTAATTACTTCGGCCAATTCTTTTTGCTCTTTCTTGATATCTTCGCCCCATTTCTTTAAAAATCCTGAAATACCGCCCGATTCTGTGGCCGCCTCCGCCTTAAGCGTGACGTCATCGGGCGCTGTGGCCACGTCTGGCTCTGCGGTCGTGGGCGCCGCCTCCTTAAGTGCAACGTCAGGCTCCGGTTCAGCCTTCAGTTTCTTGTCCTCCTCTGGCGCCGCCGACTGAAGGGTGTGTTCCTTCAGATTCTTGTCCTCTTCGGGCGCCGCCGACTGAAGCGTGTGTTCCTTTAGATTCTTGTCTTCTTCTGGAGCCGCCGCCTGAAGAGTGTGTTCTTTCAGTTTCTTGTCCTCTTCGGGCGCCGCCGACTGAAGGGTGTGTTCCTTCAGTTTCTTGTCCTCTTCAGGCGCCTCCGCCTGAAGCGTGTGTTCCTTCAGATTCTTGTCCTCACCGCCCGATTCTGTACTGCCTTTGGGCGCGGGTGTGGTCGGGTCATCGGATGGCGCTGTGGCCACATCCGGCTCTTCCTGTCCAGCCTTTAACGTCTTGTCCTCACCGTCTGTACTGACGTGGGGTGTGGTTGTGGTGGTGGAGGTGGCGGCGACGGCTGCAGCTGCGGCTGCCTTCGCTTCCTTTCTCGCTTTCGCCGACGCTTTGGCCGCTTTGTGCACCGCTTTGGCCGCTACGGCCGTCGCTTTGGCCGCTTTGGCGGTCGCTTTAGCAGTCACTTTAGCCGCTGTGGCCACCGCTTTGGCCGTCACTTTGGCCGCCTCTTTGGTCGCTTTGGCCGTCGCTTTGGCCGCTTCTTTGGTCGCCTCTTTTGCCGCTTTGGTCGCCTCTTTAGCCTCGGCTTTGGCCTTATCTTTGGCCGCATTGGGTGCGGGTGTGGGCGCCGCCGCCTGAAGCGTGTTGTCTTCGGGTGTCGGGGCTGTGGCCGGATTGGTGTCGTCGGGCGCAGTGGCCGGGTCGGCCTCATCATCACGTTTCTTACGATTTAATGCTATGTCACCACTCAATGACCGTTTTGTCCGTACGAGTGGTTCACTAAACGAGTTGCCAATCATCTCGTTCTCCGCGGTGTCGGCCACTTGTGTCCACCGTTTAGGACCCATATTATAGGCTCGCGACGGCTGTATAGCCCGCGTACTGAATAGCTCTCGCTTTTCTAGTAATTAGAAATTATTTATTTATATTAATATTAATTATAACTTATTTTTGTTGGCAATCAGTTCAACAAAATATGATTAGTTTTTATTACAGACCGACGCAAACGTGTCTGAATGGACTGCACGTGAGTCCAGCGTCGCAAACAAGTTGTATGCTCTTTGTATGGGAGCCGTCGCACCGTTGATAATGGCCTTTAAATGCATGATAATTACAATTACATTGAAATTAAATATCATTTACTGAATAATTTTATATAAAACATACGATTTAAATTTAATAAATGATTATTAATGTATGTTTTTTATGCATATTATGTTTGTTTAGGTGAACATTACCTCTGGGTATATAACAGCGGTCACAACACTGACAGCCGGTCTTTTGTGTGAGTTTGTCGACAAACAATCCCTGATATCTCTCGCACTCACTTCGGGTGATCTCGTCGTTGCACTTAATCCGAGAGCAATCGCAACGAAGCATACTTTGTATCAATTGGGCGAACCTCTTGGCAAACGACTGGCCATTTAACCCGTGTCTCGGCCTTTGAAGTACGAGAATAATTCTTGTATTGTCTTTATTTTCTGTAATAAATGCTAGCATTTGTTACCACGAGTTGTTATACTCTCCCCAAACCATACCTGTATTTCATATAACAACATACCTGTGCATACATTTTGTTCATTACATGACAGGCCTTCAGCGCACTTCACGACTAAATCATTTCTGTCCATTGGTTTACAACTTTCATTCATTTCTATTGTAATTACAAATTAAATAACAAATAAATTTTTACAATAATTTAATTAAAAGTAATTATCATAAAATATAGTGTATTAACAAAAGCCATACTTTTATAGAGGAGACAGCACTGGCACTGATGGCTGTGTTGATAGTAAATGCCCTCATATTTAGCGCATTCTTCACCACTTATTCCGGAAGAATATTTAGGCGAAGAATTTCTCGTATTTAATTCATTACACGGACACGACTGAAGACAATTGATGCCATTCACTGATAAACAGATACCGATTAAAAACAAATACCTTATGAATATAATTGAAGCCATTTTAAACTTCAATTTAATTAAATGTATGAAAATGTGTTAATTATATTAAGTAAAAGTATTGCTAAAGAAAAACTTTCCATATAATAAAATGTATTAAAATATATTAAAATTATTTTTTTTGATATATTTAATTAATTTAATATCTAATAAAATGTTATTCATAAGTATTGTACTTAAGAATCGGATAATTTATTATTAATTGTATAAACAATTATTTAAAAATAAAATTTTAAATTAAAGTTTTGTTTACCACAAAAGTTGTTTCATTATATTTTAATTAACATTTCTACTATATATAATTAATTCACCATTTTATTGGAGAGAGAGAGAGAGAGAGAGAGAGAGAGAGAGAACTTTATCATTAATACTTGAATAACAGTTTCATTCAAATGTCTTACTAAATGCATAAAACCTTTTACTACTTTCTCTCCATCCTTCATCCTTTCATCTCTCCTCTCCAATAGCTAAGAGTACATTAGTAAATGATAACTACTTTTGATTTGTTTTTTTGTGTAACTTTTA